GAAAGAGGCTGACAGCTTAACTAAAGTTGTCACTACTGAGACTCAAGTGAGAGAGTCCAAGGCTCTATGCAGGAAGAACTGCCGCCTCCTTCTCCTGCTTGAGGCCTCCCATCAAACCTTCTCAAGCACCTTCCTGAGATAGTTGCGTCTGCAGTTTCCCAAGCAGCCTACAGATTTTCCTCCCCAGCCTGGGGGAACTTCAAAGGCCTCTACAGCATCATAGAAGCCAGGTATTTTTGAAGACCTTCAAATCATTGTTTAAAGGGTTTTCTAGTTTTTTTCCCCCCTTGTTGTGGGGAATGCTTCATCCTTTCCTTGAAACCGCAAGGCAGCTTCCTTCCTCTGTAAGGATTTCATTCCTGTAAGCCTCTATTCTCAAGCCTGTCATACCAAAGTCTGTTTTACTTCAAGGATGACAATTCACCCTGAAGAGGCTGAACTGAAACGTACCCTCAATCCCCTGCTTCAAAAAACCCAGCTCCCCTAGATCACTCGCCCAACTAAAGGTTCCCAGATCAAGCACCCTTCATCCTGCTGCTGGTAGCTTACACTCCCCCTCCCAAAGTACAGAAACTCCTCTGAAGATATTGCTGACTGGAACAGCAACATAACAGATTACAGATTGAGTCCCATAAATGAAGTTCAGTCTTATAACACACCAAAACAGTCCCACACACCAGTTTTTATCTTCCGCTTTAAATAAAGTAAAACAAGCAGATAAAAGTGCTTTCAATTCATACCTCACAGTAAATAGGATATATTCAATAGCTTCCAACAAAGGAGAGGTCTTAACCTATGGATAAATGTCAATATTCCCTTTTCTACTTTCTAGCAATTATCAAGTCATGACTGTAAAGCTGCACTCCAAAGTGGGAAACCTGACTTAAATTCTCCAAGCTGTCCTACCCCTCGGCTGTATTATCAGGCTGCCATATATCCAAGGGGAAAAAGTGCCTCTTGTCCTCCTACTTAAAGTAGGCCAAGAAGCTCTTGTTCAGATTCCACCTCATCCTCAATAATGCACCTTTAAACACCTCTGAGGCCACGATGATCTCACAGCGAAAGTTCACCATGGCAGATGGAACAAATGCCAAGGTCAACCCAGGCCTGAGCAATTACTAGTACTATGTTACAAGAGTATAAAAGGTTGCAGGAAGGGACCAGATTTAACGTTAAGGACTACAGCCACCCACAAGAACATGCTTCTCCAAAGTGATCTTTTTCAAATCACACATATAGCTTAGTTTCTGTGGCTCCCCTCTTCATTTTACAAAAACAGTACAGAAAGGATTTCAAATTCAGTGTTTCTTCCTTGATGACACAATCCTATTAGGACTAGGACAGTAAAACCTCCAACAACTCAAAAATGAGAAAGGGCTGTAGATTCTGCATCTCATATCACCATTTACTCTTAGAAACTCACTCATTCAGTTTTCTTGAATCAAGTTTAAATGCTTTTTGCTAATAAAAAAACCCAACATACTTTTTACAGATAACATTTTAATTCAAAAGTCACCATACTAGTACTAGTAAATGGAAATTTAAGATGAAAATCTGCCTTCTATCACCTAGCCACATGCCCAAATCCCTTATCATTAAAATGGACACATCTGAATCCTCACTGCTGGGAAACTCCTTGATCCTTTTCTTTGGCACTACCATCACAGGCACAACACCGATAGATATACGCATGTGCAAGTACACCACAAAAAACACACTGTAGATGTACACTATACTCCATTTTAACTCATCTTTAGATACTGCTACTATATCTGCAGTCTACTATATTTTCATGTTTTAATAAAACATGATTTTTCAGGTTCTAAATTTCTTCTACATCTCAACACACCATCCCGTTTCCATACCTTAACTCGCAGCTCCTTCATAGGAGGAGGTAACAGAAGACCTCTAATCTGAGTTACTATAGGACCTTCTACTCCAGGAACAATAATTGTGTCTCCTTCTTTCAAGCGTCCATTAATCAAAATAACATCTATGGTGGTGCCCATACCAGGCAGTGCTTTAACCTGAATGAAAGTGAAAAAGAGTTACTCCTTTAACCACTTTAAACACACCTCTTTAATCAAGAAGCAGGGAGAAGAGAGAAACTTCTAGATGAATTTATAAGAGCAGCGCTGAATTACCTCCATGACTTGAGCTCTCAGCTCTTGACACTCAGCCAGTCTCTTGGTCAGCATAGTTTGTGTTAGTTCAACAAGAAGAGCTATCAGACTTCCCATTCCATCCCCTGTGTGAGCAGAGGTAGGTACAAGAGAAACAAAAGTGCGGGGATCCTTATTCTCATAAAACAAGGCAGCATTCAATCCCTAGAATTAGGATCAATAGTTATGGGGTGGGGGAAGATAAATAAAAACAAACAAACAAATAGTATTAACAGTAATGTTCAGTCCCAGCCAATTATGATTGCATTTTTAAAATTCTAATTCAAAAAAAAAAAAGCCATTGTTACCAACAATATGCTATGGAACACGCAGCCTCAACCCACACTTGGGATCAGTATGGGATAACTCTACAAAATAATTATACAATGCTGTCCAGAAGTTAAATGTAACGTCACCAAGAGAAGTTCCCAGAATTGATGCGACTCATGCCCTGCCAATGTCCAAGGGAACAAGAGACAGGCGGGTTTCTCTCAGGCAATCCCCAAAGCAGGAAAGAATAGGGACAGAAAACTTGATCTACTGCTCATGACTCCACTGACCACACACAGCAGTTAGCTGTTACTTTTCCCCCAAACTGGCACTTCATGGATAGAGCAGTTGAAAAAGAGCAGAGTTTAACAACAACAACAAAGTTTAGTTTATGAGAAGTAAACCCTGATGCGTCAGAAAAGATGCTACAGTTTTCTTGATACTGGCTGTTGGTTTGTGAAACAGGCTTCTAAAAATTACTTTCATTAATGCTTCTGTTAAAAGAACAGGCTCGAACATTCCAGCTTACCTGTTTTGCAAATTCCACTATGATAGCTTTTGCACGTTCTTCAAATTCATCTTTTGTATTCTTCTTCTGCTTCTTTAAAGTGACCGCTACATCTGTATCTGGACTTTTTTTCCAGTCATATAACCTATCAATCTTGAAAATGAAATATTAATATTTAGTCTTGTACACTTTCTGAAGGACATCTTTAGGCTTATACCACCCATTTGTGAGAAATACTTATACCGCCAGAGCTGGCCACCCTTTTGCTCCAGTAGTCAAATTAAATCTCTATTTGCTTTAACTGCAATATATTTCTGTCTATATATTTATCCAATGTTGGATAGTATTTCACAAGCAATACTACTTCAGGTTTTAATTTTTAAAACCGTGTTAATCTAGGTTCATATGGAAACAGCTTATGTACATTAATTACATCAAGTTTAAGATAAAACAAATTCATAAGAAAGATTCATGCACAATTCCATATATACAAAGATATGAGGGTTTTTGCCTTCCCTCCCTCCCACCCCCCCCCACAAAAGAGATAGCAAATATTTTTAAAGAACTTATAAGGCTGGCTGCTGAGAATTCAGAAACTTTCCTACGCTGCTACAGAGAAGAGACCACAAAGGGGTCGTTCAAGACACACAACTGCATGCTTTAGAGACACATCACTAAATCAAAGCAGGTCAGACTCAGTCCATGAAACTATATTCACATAAGCTAAACTCCTAGTTAGCAAGCTTCTACAACATTCACAGGCTTCACTGTACTGTGATATACACATTTCTAAACTAATGCATGTTAGACATCACAACTCCATGCTCATTACAACCACACTATTTTCTAAGTCTCATATAACACAAGTTTGTGTTTGCTGTATAGCTCAGGACTATATATTTAGAAAACAGATCAAGACCTAGACACATGACAAAACTACAACCTGAAATGCAAAAGCTTTTTGCTATTTAATCTCAGACTCACTGTAAGCCTTAACAGCTCTCCATCCAATAGTTTTTTTAAAAGTAAATATTTTCAGTAACAAGGTAAAGGTTTTCTCAGTTCCAATGCCTTCAGTCTTAATACTTACTTCATTTTTGAAAGCATGTTGCAGTTTTTACACTATATGTGAATACCCTTTTATAAGCTGTCTGCCAGCATGTCAGGTGTCCAATGACTCTAGATGTTGCAAGTAGTTTCCTTAATACAATTCATGCAAGTCATCATGAAAAAAACAGCTCTGCCACTACAAGTTCTCACGCGTAAACAATAACTAGCTCTATCATCTAATACTGCAAAGTCTGAAATACTTCTACCAGTGACTGACAATAATACATACATTATGGTGACATGAGCCTAAAAGCCAGTCTGTCTTCAATCCACAAACCAACAAGTATCATTAACTAAAGTAGGTATTTTAAGTGAAGCTTGTCTTTCAATTTTATAAAAAGAAAACACAACTCCACACAAATCCATCCAAGTAGCTCCAAGTAGGGGGAGAGGGGGGCCATACAACTGAGATGCAACTTACACAAGTGTGAACCATATACTGAAGTCATAAGATAAGAACTCTGGGAAGATCTGTTAGATTGTTCTGCAAAGCTCCCATAAGGCCATACAATTATTGGGCAGAGGTGTCAAAAACGCAACAGAAAGAATCCAAGAACCACTGCTTCAAGCTACACAAACAGTTTGATTTTATAGAAGAAACAGAAAGTTGTCAAATGCCAAACATACTATTAGAGATGTCGGAAAAGTTATCTTACCTTGTTGAGAGCTACTATAAAGGGGCATTTCTTAGATTTCAACAGGTTTATTGATTCAATTGTCTGTGGCTCCAAACCATGCATGATGTCAACTACAAGAATAGCAATATCACAAAGCGAGCTTCCTCTATTTCTTAGATTGCTGTGGCATTAAGAGGGGGGAAAAAAAACAAACAGTCATGCAGGAACAGAACACTAAGAAAAAAAACACTGAATAAACAGTGCTAAACTTGTATTGACCAATAAAAAGCAAAAACTGATCAAATAGTTTTCTCACACAAAAATATTGAGAACTACATACCAACGAAACATCCAAATCACACCAAGTTTAAACTCCATTTCACAAAATATATTTGAGTATTCGTAGGCAAAAATAAGAGGAAGCTACTATTTTCCAGAACTTTTCCTATTATCATACATTTTTACCATTTAAGATACCTTCTGATTTGTTCAGAGTGAGAATGAAGTTTCAGTGAAATACAGGAGTACCAAATCTGAATGAGACCAACAATTCAATATTACATAAAGACTTCAAAGATCAAACATCTGTAGTACAACAAAAAGCTAGCCAGAAGATGAAGAGCTATCAGTGATAAGATGCCAAGAAACGGGCAGTACATTAACAAGTGCCCTAAGACTTGGCATTTCAATGCTTTTAGAGGCTTATGTTTAAGAATGTCACATCAAAGCCACCTTAACACTTTCGTTTGGGTATTTCCCCAGAGCACTACCTCAGTGAATACACGTACATGTTATGGTTTAAGCTTAAAAGTTCATTTAGTGGATTATTTACATGTCATTGCTGTTTGTAGGCAGCCTGTGAACAGTGTAAGGAAGCAGTTACCAATAGCAAAAGTCAACTTGTAGCCTTAGGAATTCAGTTACCTTAAAGGGGACACTATGAACTGGAGGCTAAGATATAGACGCTTTAATTTTTTAAACCAGCATATTTATGTCATCTGAGATTCTCACCTTTTCTCTTCCAGCTAGCTTTCTGCATCTGTCTTTTCTTTCACACTAACTATTCAGAAATAAAGTTACTTTTATATGCCTTTTCAAATATTCTTGGCTCAATTGACATGAGGACAGAAAAGTTACAGGCCAGCAGTTAACCAGACATAAAAAGTACCTGCAAAGCAAGTAAATCCACTTACTCTAGAATTCTACTCTACTCTAATTTGTATTAAGCAAGAAGAAACACAGTGGATTAGGCAAAGACCTAGTACTTTGTTAAAACATATGTAGACGCTTTGACTATCATTTCTGAAGAGAACAATATTGTAAGAACGAGCATTACCTGAAAGATTCGTGTCCTGGAGTGTCAATTATCAGCATTCCTGGAATTTTTATGTTCTCTCTGTCAAACTAACATTTCCAAATATTAACCATCTTGAAAAGATTACACAAGGAAAAAACCTTCAGAGCTCACAGTCTTAGTGATAGCACTCACTTCAAAGATCCAGATATGTATTTTAAGCAGGGCTGGCACCTTCCCTTAGCCAAATCAGTTACAGCTCATTTCAATACAAAATACAAAACACTAATATGATGCAGCACATCCCCTGGCTATCAGGTATCCATAAGCTTAGCTAAGAGGACTTATAAAATAAGGTAGCCTATAGAAGAAAAAACAGTTTAGGCTGCTGAGATTTATCCTACCTGTCTTGAACATTTACTCTCCTTCACTGATCTTACAGTTTTAAGAAGCTGAGTAAAATCTTAAGAAAGGCACTATAGAAGTGAGAGGCAATTTTCTGTTTGGGTTTTAGGAAGGCTGTTGCTGCAGCCTCATCATTATACTCAGTTTCAGTCAAATGTTCTGGGCACACTCTCCTCGTTAAACATTTCCTCAGCAGTTTACTGACTAGTTTTGTAATTATGAAATTCTTTAATTTCATATATTCAAAATTCAGATACAGTATGTAGCATCTACGACAAACAATGCACAACAGTTACTATTTCTGCATCATGATAAAATTCATCGTCCACAAAAATGCTCAATTTCAGTACGCATAGTTAAAAGTGCAGATGTTTCTTTAAGAGAGGGCATTTTAATAGAACATTCACTTACTAAGTTTCAAAAGTCTTAGTTTGCAGCCAAAACATTGACAAATAAGCAGTCCATAAGTGCACTGTCCAGAATGGGGTAAACAGTGCTTGTATATCTTGCTGAGGAAACAGTAGTGCATTAACTGAAAACAGCATGAGCCACATACATTAATTAAAACCAAAAAAGGAGAACCTCCCCTTTAGACAGGAGGTGGGTAAAGGGATAGGAATTAAAAAACATAAAAATAAAAAGCACACACCCACAAATTAACTCCAATATCGGAGACTAGGGGAAAAAAAGGCATCTACCCTTGCCAACAAATCTTACAAGGCCTAAATAAGAACTGGTTTATTTTTAAAAACAGTATTTGAAGTGCTGTAACTTACATTTTTCACCATCTTAGTTTGTTCATTAATAGCTTCAAGGGGAACATTAGTCGCACCAATCTGCTGAGTGATACCACCAGCTTCACTGTCCTGTACATGAGTATGGCGGAGCTAAAAACAACACAGAGAGCATAGAAGAGCTGAATTCAAAGACAGAAATACTTGCATGTAAGAGACTATTTATAATCATGTCAAAGGACACTATTTTCAAGAAAAATTGCATAAGCATGGACAAAAAGATGCAAGGAGACTTCCACATTCCACATCTTACCTTATCTAAAATTTTGGTCTTGCCAGTGTCTACATGTCCCAGGACACAGATAACTGGTGCTCTGAGCTTTTCAGTGTTCACATTCTTGCTGTTTTCAGCTCGCCGCTTCTAGAAACGTAGGTTTAAAAATTGGTAAGTACAAACCAAAGAAAAGCTCACCTCTTAGCTTGATTACATACGCATGTTAATTTGGGGACTTAAATTCTGAAGTTAATTCAAGCAAAAGTAATTCGCAAATCAATAAAAAAACCTCACAGCTAACAGTTGAAATGGGGAGTTTTTGTTACAATCTAGTAGGCTAAGTTATTATATCCACTAACATGTAGTTTTAAGAGCGCACTCTGTAGCGGCATCTTGAGCCAGAAAAGAGAAAGTTAGGAACCACAAAAAGAAATTGAACAGTTTAGAAATTTATTTTTAAAATTGAAATATCGATAACAAGTACAACTCTTAGAGGAAATGACACTTAAGTGCACGTTCTTTGCAGTCACGTCCTCTAAAGCAAAATACTTCGGATTCAGGAAAAAACAGGTCTATTTCCTTATTTAACCCACCTCCTGGGTCTCAATACTAGTCATAACACAGCCACCATTTTGACAAATACGGTTAAAAGGCTTTTCTCTGAACTGAAAATTGAAAGCGTCTCTTACACAGTGCAAAAGAATTCCCCAAATAAAGCTGCTTCGTA